ACGAAGAAATTATGCGTTTTTGGACGAGGGACAGTCATTAATTATTGCAATAAAATTCAACAGTTTTCCATTTGGACTAAACCAGTATGAACGACTTCACGATCGGAGTAGAAAGACATATTTACAAATGGCTCATGCGGATCAGTAAAAAATTAACACCAATAATTCTTTAAAAATAACTCTTAACAAAGTGCTAACCCTGGAAAACGCTGCTACCTTTGCCCACACACGACCAAAGTGCATAGAAGAAAATGGGAAATGGATTTGAACTGTAGAAAGCCAACATTTGCATAAAGAAACATCCGTAAACTTTAAAAAACAATATGATTTCACACTAGAACTCCCAGAGCAGTCAATTTGACGGCTTTATCGTTTCGGAATTACTCTGCTCATGTACATTTTGCTCGGCCACTTTCGAAAAGGCGCTGGGCTGGATCTGAGCTGAGTCGGCTTGTTTCAGAAAAGTGCTAGTTACCATAGCAACGCACCGTTTACTTAGCAGCCACCTTTCAACAAACTGTTTTTCTGTATTTTAAGTTAAATTCACCAGTTTTTAGCACTTATTAAATATAAAAACTATTTAAATGGAGCACTTTATACTAATAATGGAAAACTACCACCTTTTTGGGGATTTTTTTCGGAATTGCATTGATTTGAATGGGAGCTGTCAAAAAGACTGTTCAAGGCGCACTAGTGTGGAAATCTATAACGTCATATTGTATATTTTTGACGGTACTTTCACCAAAACCATGGGCTTAAACGGCCAAATGATTGTCCACATTAAAGTGAGTAGAGAAGAAAGGGTCGACTAAGCTGGGGTACATGACTTTCTGTTTTTTTTAAACAATACATTCTTTGTTCCAACAGAAAGAGTGCTGTAAAAGTAACATTTTAGATTGGCTGAGTGAGGGTGGTTCTCTCTTTTTCACTTTTCTGTCTCAAAATGTTACCTACATGCAGATTTGAGAGCCAGGATCTAGTGGCATGGATTTCATTTTGTAGTTTGAAAGTTACATATCCCAGCTTTACGTGGATGAATGTGGCTCCTATAGGCCAACATCACACATTTAGATTTGTTCATAATGACGTCCAAATTAGGATAATTTGAGACCATTAAATGTAAAATTCAACCTGTTAAGCAAAATTGAGAATGACTTTCAAGACTAAGTGGAGAACGATATTAGATTAAAAAAGGATAAGGTAAAGCTTGGGTACGTAAAACAAAACAAAAAGTGATCTTTGTAATAAAATCCATGTCACTAGTTCCTGGCTCTAAAACAGTTTTCTTTCATCACTAGTTTCCACATGTATTTTAGACCTCTGTTAGATCTTTAAATCAGATTTTACTGACAGAAAAGTGACAAAGAGTGGACCACCCTCACTCAACCAATCAGCTCTCAGCCCAAAGAGTCAAAAAGCGACTCACAGGGCTCTTTTCTCACACTAAAGAGCATGTTTTCAGAGCAGCCGTGGCTATAGTAGTAGTTTGAATGAATAACATGTGAAAAAACCAAAGCATTATTAGCATTATTATTATTTAGGTACCCCAGCTTTAAGAGTGATATGAAATTCTGCAGTAAATAATAATATTGACTTATTTTGAAGCCAATTCTAATAAATACTCATGGAACAAACTTTGCAATCTGGGAAATGATTGAAAGGCGTGTATATGCTGCAGGGTAGAAGCGAACAAAGGCGATGTCGCGGAGTTCTGTGGTGAAAATGGCGGCTTTTTCGTTATAATTGGCACCGATCAGACAGAATCATTACTGCTCTTATTTCATTTGTACCATTTACAAAAAATCAGTGCACCGGAGACACAGCTTTGGCTAGACTTTTCCATTCACAATATTTACAAAAACACACATATATATATATACGCTGAACAAAACATTGTACCGTTTTCTACTCGAGTGATAAATCTCATAAACAAGGCATTTGGTTGGAATTGAACTTAAGTTATCTTCAGTCTGTACCTGAGATTGGCAAAAAGGAAAAAGAAATATGTTTACAGTAGAGGCCATTTTATTAGGTGCAAGCGCTTGTACTGGGGAGACAATATTCACTTTTGACATGGACTAACCGTTTATGTTTCACGGAAGATTGCAGCGCTTTGGTTCATTGTCATGTTTTTCTTACTATTGGCTGTTTTCACTATTTCATCTCACTTTCAATTCATTTCTACAGCCTGAGTCCTGGATCTACGTCCTGTCCTCCTGTGGGACCGGATCTGTCTCTCAATCTGGGGCTCTCCAAGGATTCTCACTTTTTCCCACTGTTTTCTTTTTTGAGTCTTTCTTCGCCGATGCAGGATGTTTATGACTTTTATGAACCTTTACAGACAGTGGTCGTCCCTCTCCTTATGAATCTATGTGTTTGGTATTTCCTCTGCTCGAACAGTTTGATTCTCTGATCTGCTGTCGGTGAATCTACAACTGTGGAAAATCCTCCGAAACAAAACGACTGCAGATGTGATTTAGGGGAAACAAAAGTACATTGAATAGAGAAGGGAAGAATAAATAAAATCTTCTGTATTTTAAGTTTGTGTAAGCTCTCGTACAGGGATTAGTCAAAGCAATGGGTGAGAAACCTTCCTTTGCTTCTGTATTTTAGTAGACTGTGTTGGTCCTAAATCTAGATCTTTCAAAGGAACAAACTAAAAGTCTTGTTTATAAGAGACAAGTCTAATTCTGACTTTGAACCAGAAATAAATTGCAACTGTGCTTTAATTCGTGTCCCATATGAAACTTGACTTATTTGAATTTAATATTACCTCATATCTGATCACTCTTTTTCCAAATATATTTAACAACTGTTTATTTTCATTTATAAACTTTTTTGATTGTCCTGTGTTTTTTGGGAAAATAGCTGCAGTTGATAAAACGCTATGAATTTATTTGATAAAATAATTCATATCATTGGACCACCTGTCCTGTACTTTCAAATAAAGTACTTTCTGTAGATAATGAAACTAAAATAGTGTCTCCTCTGGGTAGAACCAACACCAGTGAGATCCACTGGAGAACATATAAACCAATGGGGAGAGAGCTTGTCCGTCAAACGGGGATGTGATTTGATTTTGTCCAATCAGGAAGCAGCAGGAACTTAAAGGGGAAGGTACTTTCACCTGTTCAAATGAAGGTCATTACATTTCTGTTTTAGTAACTAGTATCACATCTTCACTCTTGGCCTTAGTGAAGTGAAGCATTCAATTATTATCATTATTGAACTTGTGACATCACTCCTGACGTGATGCCATTTTAACGTCCTGCTTTCATCCCTGTAGGTTGTGTTCAAGTGGGAGAGGTGTATTTCAGATTTTCAGCAGGTGTCAATACAACTCTTTCAAAAACAACAGCTGTTTTTGAAAGAAATCAACAGTTTATTTTTGAAAAGATTTGCTTAAGAAGGAAAGAAACGTTTTTGTCATGGTGCAGCAATGCACTGCTTTGCATTGTTTGCAAATAAACTATTCATATGTTGAAAAATAAAATATCCTGTTTTCCCAGATCATTATTTGATATCATTTTGCATAAATATAAATTACTTACTTAAAGGAATAGTTCACCGTTTTTACATACTGACATATGTTCTTACCTTACCTTAGACTAGTTAATATGTACCTGTCTGGTCTTAGTCCGTGCGCTCTGTCATGCAAACGGAGCAAAAACGGGAGCACAAATGCAGCCTCCTCTGTATACTGTGTAGGACCAAAAGGTAGCTCCCTCTAGAAGCTACCAAACTCTTCCAAGTGTTCCCTATTAAATGTATATAGTTACGTGACGTGTTACACTGCAAAGTATAGTAACACAGAAATGTAACAGTCGATTTTCTCAGCGGATAAAACGGGTACTATATTGTGAGGCGTAGTAATCTGAGGGGCGTTACGTCCGCGCACTAACTTCTGTCCGGAGACTTCTCTCTCGCTCACTTCCGTCAATAGAAGCAGCGTGACTTGTAGTACGGAGAGAAGTTAGTGCGCGGACGTAGCGCTCCTCAGATTACTACGCCTCACAATATAGTACCTGTTTTATCCGCTGAGAAAATCGACAGTTACATTTCTGTGTTACTATACTTTGCAGTGTAACACGTCACGTAACTATATACATTTAATAGGGAACACTTGGAAGAGTTTGGTAGCTTCTAGCGGGAGCTACCTTTTGGTCCTACACAGTATACAGAGGAGGCTGCGTTTGTGCTCCCGTTTTTGCTCCGTTTGCATGACAGAGCGCACGGACTAAGACCAGACAGGTACGTATTAACTAGTCTAAGGTAAGGTAAGAACATATGTCAGTATGTAAAAACGGTGAACTATTCCTTTAACAATTAGATTCAAATATTTTTTGTTTGTTTTTTACGTCCTTTCTAGTGGTCAACATTTTGCATATGTTTTTGAATATTGTCACCACTTCTAGACACATTTATGAGAAAATAGTTCAACCATAGATGATAAGTGCTGACAAAGAAGATGTGGGACATTGACAGTTGCCATAGTTACCAGCACACCACAATGTTGAACTAGAGGCACTTTGGAATGTGCCGATAACACATGCTGAACGCAACCTTCATGTTATTTTCTAATTTTCCCCACATTCTGCTTCCTGATTGGTGCAAAACTATAATAAAACCAGTCCAAAAGCACGTTAACTGCTGTATCCACTGATCACGCTTGTACCTAATAAAACGACCTTTTGAGCCGGCGTCCACAGTTTTAAACATAGAAACGATTTGCGCATCGAACGAAACCCGTAAAAAGTGATTCCTCCGACCGGCGAGGTAGAGGGGACAATAAATAAAGATCATATTTAAAAAAACTAGAAATTGTAAAAGCTCAAGAGTCTGAAATGTAAGTAGTCTTTGACAGTAGGGCTGCAGGATTCAGCGCGGAGAATTAGAAGTCAAACAAAACATGACAAAAATAAGGGAAAAAACTCAAATTCAACTGTTGTTTTGAGTATCATTTCTCGAAAACAAAATTTGCCGAAGGGACATGACAGTTTGGGACGTACAGTAGTAGTATTTTAATCTCCTATTTCAAGAGAGAAATTGCGTTTTTCGTCTACTTTGGCAAATCTCAAAACAAAGTCAAAGCGAAACACACCGACTTTTTCGTGGCGTTATTCTTAATTTATAACAATAATAATGATAGAGAGCAGAATGAGGCTCTGGTTTGGTGCTCTATAAATATAAATACATTTTTTTAAGCGATGTAGTTAAAACCAATATCGCAAATCTAAGCAAAAATATGAAAAACAAAATCTAAAATGTTGCCCAAACCGTGCAGCCCTACTTTACAGTTTTGCAGAGAGCTCTTCATAAATGTATTTACAATGCGTCTGATTCTGTCCGTTAGAAATCCAGTTTTAGTCCAAAACAAAATAAAATTGTGTTCCTATCCACAAAAAGATTGCTTGTAGCTCAAAAGAAAGGACACTTCTTTTTGCAGTATTATCCTTGCATTGTCGTCCGTCCGTGAAACAACTCAAAAAAGTCTTTGTTTTTGCAAGATTGGCACTTGAAAAAATTGGCAGTAAAGGAGCTGAACCCCCTTAAAAAGACATGGTTCGTAAAATCCTATTGAAGAAAAGTTTGTGTTTTGAAGCGGGGAAGACAAGATGGCTGCCGTTTCCAATTGTTTGGTTTTGTCACCTCTTCCTCGACACCTTTGACAGCCAGATCTTCACCGTTGTGTCGCTGCGGAAGGAGAAAAATATAAAAGAGATTACAGGAGAAATCATAAACCCAGACGGGAGTTGCTTCAAAACATGCCACACGAACAGACAAACATTTCTGTCAAAGCAGAAAGCACCAAAAGGAACTTCATGTGCGCAGACGTGGAGACATGGTGACTTCAAAATGGGATTCAGCCATTTTGAACGGGACAGAAACGGGCAAAAGCCGGACAATTAAACATTTTACAAAACAAGGGATTCTGTAATTTGGTATGGTATGACTGGCTTTTAAAGTTATAACTGTTGGTTTGTTATTTTATGTCTTGTCTGTAAGGTTTTTAAATTACACCTAGACTCTGTAATAAAGTGGAATTGATTGAATTGTATGAGACGGCTTCACTTTTTCAAATCACAAATCGAGGTCAATTCATATTTTCTGAGTGTTCAAAACTAAAATAAATTTCTCTCCTCCTTCAGACATTTCTTTAAGGAAAGTTATTTTGTTTTTGAGGATTACACAGACGTTTTAGGGTTAGGACTCCCTGAATTTTGAAACTACGTTATTTTGACTGCTTCCGTTCAAATCAATGGACTTCTGGGGAATCTAAATCCCTCTTTATGCATCAGGCCGGAGCCGGGGCCTGGGCCAGTTCTCAATTCAGATCCAATTTATTATTATTATTATTATTATCATAGTTATTATTTTTTTTTTTTTTACAAAACTTAAACAATACTGCATCTTGGTGCAAAAAACTAGCTTCACCTCAGACCCTGGACCCGTTCAGACGTGAGGCAGAAATGGGAACCAATTCTTGCAGAAACTAAAGTCAAAACGACAGCTTTGGAAGTTAAAACCCAGGAGTTGTTTTGAGTTTGTTTGTAACGCCCTGTGTCCGTGATTTTAATGTTTATAATTTGAGCCTTTGTGTTACCTTGCGTAGGAAAAGTGCTTTACAAATACAAGTGGATTGATTGAAAGTTAGAATGACTCATCTTTCACAAATGAATTGAAATGTCATCAAAATGATCATTTGGAAGCAAAGGTCATAGAAATACAGGAAGAGAGGTTTGGAGGACTAACTATGTCAGTAAACACGCTTCTACGTGAGTAAGACAAAAATGTGCAATATTGGGATGTGTGGAATAGTGGTTAAAAGTGCAAAGAGATTTGTAAAAAATGTACAATAAATAAAAACAAAATAAATGAAAATAAAATAAATAGGGTACATTAAACAATAAAATAAAATTAAAATGGATAATGGAAAGAAATAATAAGAAATAATAATAAAAACAAAAATAAAAATTCAATCCATGTGCTCCCAGACAACCACACAAATCCAGTTGAGGCCAGTACAAGCGGTTCTGACAACAGACAAACAAACACAAGCGGTGGCCTGGTTTAGTGACTGAAGCCTGGATCAGTGATGTCATGTTTGAATGGAATTAAATCCATCAAACATGTAGAAGAAAAAAATTAATATAAAAATAAAAAACAGAAAAGTGACTAGAAACGTGGAATGTGGTTACACAGGACGCTCAGAGCCTAAAGAACGAGAGCGATCATGCTGGTTAGAAACAGGCAACATCCATGAGGTTAAAACAATAAATATGTTAATAAGAACGGAGAGAGAGAGAAAGGGGGGGGGGGGGGGGGGTGATGATCCTGGAGATAGGGGGCGCTGTAGTACCAGAGGGGGGCTCAGGGGAGGCTGGTGGCTCGGCCTTTGATCGCCAGGACCCTCCGGGGCAAACACGGGGTGAGTCCAGGCTCGTACGTCCACAGCTTCACACGGCAGTCACTGAGGAGGGAGGAGGAGGGAGGAGGGAGGAGGAGGGAGGAGGGAGGAGGGAGGAGGAGGGAGGAGGGAGGAGGGAGAAGGGGGGAGGAGGGGGGAGGAGTAACACAGCGGTTACAACCAGGGCCCGACGCAGGACTTTAAATACTGCCGCTCCAATATTTTCCATCTACAGCAGGGGTCTCTAACCAGAAGCTCGCCACCTATTTGCCGAATATTTCTACATGATACAACTATTGAAAATGCCCTTTCTGTGCACATTATAGTAGATTGTTGTATGTGCATGGAAGAAGAAAAAGAAGTCTAAACATTCAAGTCAGGCTGATTGAGATACGTGAATGTGATGTAACAAAGACTGAAGCTGCATGTCCAATAAAATGCATTCAGTTTTCAGGCTTTGCTTACTTCAATATGTCGGCGTTCTCTCACCTGCCTAAAGAAATAGCTCATGATTTTGTTCTGAAATACAGTAGTAGGTCTCCTGGAGGAAAAGGTTGGAGACCCCTGATCTACAGTATACAGTAGACCTACATCATGACAACATCATAGAAACTTTAAGACTTAAGTATTACTATTATCAAAAGTAAAATGAGAGTTTCCCTGAATATCAGCAGTGCATTCTCCTGACTGTAGCAGCAGCTGAGACTTTGGAAGAAGTCTTGTTTATATGATATTTTGTGTAATCATTGGTTCATATGACACTGACATGTCCAGGCCCTGGAGAGGCACATACAAAAAATATGGCCTGGACTTCATGGAACTCAATGCTGCTTTTGTTATCAAGTAAATAAAAAAACTTTCCGACCTTGCAGATTGGATATTTCCTAGCTTAAGGATTTTATTTTCATTCACCTGTTGTTTGTCCGAACAGAACGAGTCTTGGAAAAGTGAAATGTGAACAAACCAGAGCACATCTGTGAGCCATTATTTGATTTGATTTTGAGTGAGGGTGATCCCTCTTTTCCACATTTCTGAAATGGATCTAAAGATGTGACCGAAGTGAGACTTTCATGATATAGTCTTGTTGTTGTGGTCAGGTTTACTTCAGATTTTTGAAGAAATATGCAAAAATTATTTATTTTTTGCAATTTATTGCGTATCATACCATTTTAAAATATTATTCATTTTAATTAGAGATGAAGAAGTATATTTCTCAGCTTCATCTTTCTGCAGTCTACAATAATGCAATATACTGAAATGCAGGGTTAAATCACTGAAAGCAGCAAAGTGTGGATGTTCTGGCCTCTGCAACAGTAGAACATCTTTTTCTCCTAATGACAGCTGAGTCCTGAGCCGCTCCCGGAGCCTCAGAGGACTCAGAAAACACAACTTTACAACTTTCCACAAGGGAAGCATTATTCTGGCATCAACAGCAACAAAAGACATTCTACTGAGAAAACAGATGCAAAAGTGATCTCCCACATCCTGAGGAGCTTAGGACTGTTTTATGATCTGAATAAAACAAACGTTAGTCACAACACACACGCGCACACACAGACACGCACACCTGTAATAAAGGGGATTACAATGGTTACATTTTGTTCCCAGACAATATAAAGGTATAAATAGGATTTTATATGGATGTTTTGCATTGTTGATGTCACCAGGCAACCATGGTCTTTGAGTAAATTAAATCGTCCTAAAGCAGGAACGCTCACACACAATCAACATCTACTCTTCTAGTGACCAGTGAACATCTACCTCAGTACAAAACAATTCAGAGGCTTGTGTGTGTGCGTGTGTGTGTGTGTGTGTGTGTGTGTGTGTGTGTGTGTGTGTGTGTGTGTGTGTGTGTGTGTGTGTGTGTGTGTGTGTGTGTGTGTGTGTGTGTGTGTGTGTGTGTGTGTGTGTGTGTGTGTGTGTGTGTGTGTGTGTGTGTGTGTGTGTGTGTGTGTGTGTGTGTGTGTGTGTGTGTGTGTGTGTGTGTGTGTGTGTGTGTGTGTGCAGAGGCTTGTGTGTGTGTGTGTGTGCAGAGGCTTGTATGTGTGTGTGTGTGTGTGTGTGTGTGTGTGTGTGTGCAGAGGCTTGTGTGTGTGTGTGTATGCAGAGGCTTTTGTGTGTGCGTGTGTGCAGAGGCTTCTGTGTGCCTTGAGTGCATGTGTGTGACTGTCAAAGCTTATTAAGAGACCCTTTCTTTGTACCACTGTGGGGAAATTTCAGTTTTAAAATAGGAAAGAGTTTGAGAAAATGCAGGACCTCACGGATACATTTCTCTATCTTCGGGCGCCAGCAGTGAATGAGCCGTTGTGTGTGTGTTTGTGCCTTTGTGTGTGCGTGTCTTTGTGTGTGCGTGTCTTTGTATGTGCTTCGTGTATAGTCCGAGACCGCGGTGAGTCTCGTGGATGCGCTGTCAAAGGCGTGTTGATCAGAGGTGAGAGTGAGAATGCTGCAGAGAGAAAGCCTCATGAGAGCTACCCATCATGCCCTGGACGAGTGGAGCACAATTAGAGCCCAACCTGAGCTAAAACACTGCTCTTGCTAAAGCATATGTGGAACTTTTATTCTCAGCTGAGCACAATGTGATGGCAACCATGACTAAAGCAGGGTTTTAATGGTTAAAACATAGATTAGGGGGCTCTGTTTTATGGCATTTTGGAATATTTTACTCCTAAAACAATGATTGACTTTTTCTTTTGATGTGAGCGTTTCCCTTATCAAGTCCTACTAAATATAAGAGAGCTGGCCTCATATGATCTTTCCAAATCTCATCTAAAATCCTGGTTCTTAACAAATGTCAACACTAACTTTTAACTGTTTCATTCATTTCTGTTTATCTATATGTCAAATGTACACAGTTATTTTATGATTGCACTTTTTTTTCTTGTTTAATCATTTCTGCTTTTTGGTTCACTTTTTTATTCTAGGGTCAACAAATGAAAAATAGACCTGTGGCTAATTCTGGTTCATTTAGAGTAATGTTCATGAATGCACACTGTCCCTCCCCAAAAAACAAAAGAATAAATAAATGTTCTCTTCCTGCTCCCTCTGCAGCTGTAACTTCGACGCCCCCTTGTTTCTCTCCCCTCCCTCCCTTCCTCCCTCGAGAAACCATCATGATGTGATCAGTTGTGGTGGTGCGGTATAGGTTTCTTCTTGTTGCTACTGGCCGATGAGTAGCCTGGCCTTAACCATCCGTACACTCCGTTCAATAATAATTTCACTGCATGTAACGTCTGGGTCTGGTCCCTATGTTAGCGAATACAATCGGTTGAATTTCGACCGACCATTCAGAGCGCGGAAGGCAGGTGTTGTAGTTAGTTGTGGGTGATGTCAAGAGTTTGCGTCGAACAGTCAGGTTGTAGTTTGGTAGTGGCGAAAAATGCAATAGTAAAGTAATCTGGTCTGGTTCTATCAAGAAATTGAAGCCAGATCAAGGGTAATGTTTAGCAAATGTAATCGCTGGAAAAAATGTTGGCGCTACTCCCCACGGGCTCCGTTAGCGGCAAAGGAGATGGCTAGGCTAAATGCTAAATGCTAACAACAGACTCGGGCACACTACATACGTCACGGTAAACTCAGATCCAATCGTTTCAATCTGCAAAAGGAGTTAACCCTCCCACTTGTAAACGGAGCTCAATGGAGCACGTCCAGACCTTAGTACGAAATGTCATTTGTACTATGGTGTGGTACGACCAGGCTAGCCAATGAGTGACTTTCACCGAAAACTTGGTGGATCCCATTGTGCTTCAGAGACTGATGCCGGGTCCGAGGGGGAAAGCTGGTTATCATGTACTTTTTACTTTACTTAAACCACACAAAGCACCACTCTGTTTCCATGGATCATTGAGAAAAAGCATCATTTTGCTTTCCATTCACAGTCGCCGGTTACTTTGTTCTGGTCTTTAAAACCGGTAAATCCTCACCTGGCCGCGGTGAATATGTGCTTGCTGTTGGTGCAGATGGCGTTGATGGGGCTGTCGTGGCCGCGCAGTTCACCGATGGGGCTGAAGTTGTCCACGTTCCACACTTTGAGAATCCCTCCTCGGCAGGCGCTGAGCAGCAGGGGGCGCTGTGGGACCAGGGCCAGCGCGCACACCCAGTCCTTGTGCGCGTTCGGGATTTGCTGCAACACAAGACGCAGAGAGAGGGGCTGTTGGTGAAAGGGTTCAATTCAAACAACTTAATTGATTCGTGAGGAACTTCATTTGCAGACCGAGCACCAGTGGGAATACGTAAAAAACACACATAAACACAAGATATAAGTTATAGAAGTAGAACTTTTATTTTAATTATTTTCATGAATCATCTCACTTCAGTGACGCAGCCGCTGTATCGGACATAGTGTTTGCTGAATTTGAACAAAATCTTGAGGCAATTTCCTTGTACGAGCATTTGTTCCAACGGGGTTAGCTTCACGCCGTAACAGGGTCAAACGTGTTGCTAACATAGTAGCTAAGGCAAGCTGGAGTTTCCCCCATCAATGAAGGCATTTGATTGGCCAATCCTTATGGCTCTATCTGGATTTACAAAGACAATTTCAAATCATACATCCCAGGATCACAGAGAGCGCTAAACCACTGATTTCTTAAGCCAAAAACGGTGTGACAGAAACGGTTACTGAGCTTAAGGAGTTTTCTTTTAAAAGCCAGAGCGAGTTGGAGCAAAACTTCATCCATGAGCGCTTCCCAATGGGGCTTTGTTGAGCTACGGGGAAAGCATTGTCCATCTATATACAGTCAAGAGTGTACATAAGTGTTTGGTTTATTCTTGCATTTCCTGTGTTGAAACTTTATTTATACTTTGATTCTCCAATCTGCTGTTGACGAATTGACAAATTTGTAAAGTCCTCCGAGACGACGGCTGTTGTGATTTAGGGCTATGAAAATAAACTTTAATTGAATGTATTATGTTCTTCATTATTTGAACACAATACACACACAATGCATTTCACTTTTCAGATAAAACCCACAAATCTCTTCCAATCTCCGCAAAATCCTAATTTGAAGAGAGTCTACTGATTGAGAACCTCCAACAGCCGCACTATTCTAATTCGAGTTTGCTTTAGTGCCTTAAAATATCTCCACACAAAATAAATAAAAAACTCCTCTAAGATCTTCCAAAATAAGTAGTTGGCAAATAAACATGAATTAATAACCAACTGTCATACTTTAATTGCTTTTAAGTCTGTTAAACCTGTTTGGACAGACGCAGACACAAAACAAACTTAATATTATTCATATTCTCCCCACATTTTAGGAGCTGTTGACAATAAAGTCTGTAATTTAATGTTGTTGACACTTAATATCTAATTGCTGCCATAAACCCGGAGAAGGCCAAGTTTTAAAAAAGCAAATGAATGTGGGTACACCCTTCACCGATTCATAATTATGGAGCCAGTTCGGCGCGATGCAATCAATGAACTTACTTGTGTCTAGGACAACAGACTTTAAAGACAATATTGGAGCTTTGCATCATGGACATTATATTAGGAGTGGACTGACCGAGCGCTAACGTCACCGCATTGTTAGCTAAACTCCTACATCCGTTTTGGCTCGTGCATAAAAGTTTGGCATACCCAAATGTCTTAAAAACACATCTTACATCTCACATGCTTGTGTGAGGCATCATTTTAAAGCTAGAGCCTTCTAGTTTATGTAAATATACACTGAAATAATGTATGTCATTCCTATTTCACTCTGCATCCTTTGAAGTTTGGGGGAAAAAACCTGTTTTTTTAGCCTCGCCTAAAAAATTAAATGTATAAATGACCTAAAAAAGCCTACTTCATTGGAAGAAGAAAATTTTTAACGCTAATTTGTTCATTGTGTTGTTGACAACAACTGTGTAAAGTTTCAGACTTCAATAGTTTTATAGTTTTTATGCAGTTTCTCTTTTTTTATCAAGTAGTGCCATTCGGAACCAATTTGGCAAAATGTGTGCCAAAATGTGCCGAACTGTTTTACTAACATTTCACCTTCATAAAAAGCATATTTTTTAGTTTTGGTACTTATAAGTTACAAATCTGTGTGATTTTCTTTTACATTTTTTCAAATTTATTTTTTTTGTAGTGTAAATGCATATGAAATATGCGCAGCAGTACTAACAGCGTCTTTACACACGCTTTTACTGTGAAAATGAAATGATGATGATAGTTAATACAAGTCCCACCCATCAAAAGAAAGCTCTTTTTATTGGCTACTTAGACACATCAATCATTCAGAGCTAGCACATTGCGCTAGCCATGCTAATCAACAACAAGGCAAAAACAGGCCCTCTGCAAGTGGATGCGGTTCGTCTTTTTCACAAGGGTCCTGTGGACTGAAACCTGCTCCTATCTTTTCATGGAACCTCACTTTTTGAAGCTAAGGACTCAAGGAACATGTGGATATGATGTTTGTGGGGCTAAACAATGCTCAAACTTGGTGAAATGTGAAAGAGAAGGCTGAACATTTTTCGAAGCGTTTTTTTTTTGCAACAGAGAAATGCACATTTTTGGATTATTTCTGAAGAATGGATTATACTTTGGGAAATACTAGTGGATATTCTTTTTCACTGAAGACTTACGGAGAGAAAGAGACTAAGCAAAGATGGGGAAAGTAATTTGTTGGAGCAGCAGAAGACGAAAGGTAAAAAACTTATACAAAGAAGATTTATTTTGTGCCCATATTATGCGTTATATCTTTTTAATGCAAAGTCTGATATTGTTTACACTTACATATAAATATAGCTGAGAAAAAAAGGCTTTAAAATGATGAATAGGGGCGGAGCTGTCAACCGATCATCACCTGGTCGTGAGTTGGATCCGCTGGCAGGGGAAGAAGCCGGTCAGACCTGGCAGACCCAAGCGTATAGTGAGGGTTTGCTGGGAACGTCTCGCTGAGCCCCCTGTCAGACGGACTTTCAACTCACACCTCCGGGAGAGTTTCTCCCAGGTCCCGGCGGAGGAGGGGGACATCGAGTCCGAGTGGACCATGTTCTCTTCCTCTATCGCCAATGCGGCGGCTCGTAGCTGTGGTCGCAAGGTCTCTGGTGCTGGTCCCGGCGGCAATCCCCGAACCCGGTGGTGGACACCGGCAGTAAGGGATGCCGTCAGGCTGAAGAAGGAGTCCTATCGAGCAATGATGGTTCGTGGGACTCCTGAGGCAGCTGTCCAGTACCGGCAGGCCAAACGTGCCGCGGCCCGGGCTGTTGCAGAGGCAAAAACCCGGGACTGGGAGGAGTTCGGAGAGTCCATGGAGCATGACTATCGGTCGGCCTCGAAGAGGTTCTGGCAAACCGTCCGGCGCCTCAGGAGGGGGAAGCAGTTCTTTGCCAACACCGTGTATGGTGCTGGTGGAGGGCTGCTGACCTCAACTGGGGATATTGTCGGGCGGTGGAAGGAATACTTCGAGGTTCTCCTCAATCCCCCCGTCACGTCCTCCGTTCAGGAGGCAGAGGCTGAGGATGTTGGGGCGGACACTTCCATCTCCCTGGCCGAGGTCACCAAGGTGGTTGGCAGCCTCCATGGTGGCAAGGCGCCGGGAGTGGATGAGATCCGTCCTGACTATCTAAAGTCTCTGGATGTTGTAGGACTGTCTTGGCTGACACGTCTCTGCAACATCGCGTGGCGATCGGGGGCGGTGCCAATGGAGTGGCAGACCGGGGTGGTGGTCCCTCTCTACAAGAAGGGGGACCGGAGGGTGTGTTCCAATTATCGTGGGATCACACTCCTCAGCCTCCCCGGTAAGGTCTACTCCAAGGTACTGGAGAGGAGGCTACGTCCGATGGTCGAATCTCGGATTCAGGAGGAGCAGTGTGGTTTTCGTCCCGGTCGCGGAACACTGGACCAGCTCTATACTCTCCATCGGATACTCGAGGGTTCATGGGAGTTCGCCCAACCTGTCCACATGTGCTTTGTGGATTTGGAGAAGGCGTTCGACCGTGTTCCCCGGGGTGTCCTTTGGGGGGTCCTCCGGGAGTACGGGGTCCGGGGTCCTCTGCTGAGGGCCGTCTGGTCCCTGTATGACCGGAGCCAGAGCTGTGTTCGCATTGCCGGCAGTAAGTCAGACCTGTTCCCAGTGCATGTTGGCCTCCGCCAAGGCTGCCCTTTGTCACCGGTTCTGTTCACTGTATTTATGGACAGAATTTCTAGGCGCAGCCAGGGGCCGGAGGGGGTCCGGTTCGGGAACCACAGGATTTCATCTCTACTTTTTGCGGATGATGTCGTCCTGTTGGCTCCAACGAACCAGGACCTGCAGCATGCACTGGGACGGTTTGCAGCCGAGTGCGAAGCGGCTGGGATGAGAATCAGCACCTCCAAATCCGAGGCCATGGTGCTCGACCGGAAAAAGGTGCCTTGCCCTCTCCAGGTGGGTGGAGAGGTCCTTCCTCAAGTGGAGGAGTTCAAGTATCTCGGGGTCTTGTTCACGAGTGAGGGAAGAAAGAATGGAGCGTGAGATTGACAGGCGGATCGATGCAGTGTGCGCAGTGATGCGGTCTCTGTATCGGACCGTTGTGGTAAAGAGGGAGCTGAGCCGAAAGGCGAAGCTCTCGATTTACCGGTCAATCTTCGTTCCCTCCCTCACCTATGGTCATGAGCTTTGGGTAATGACCGAAAGAACGAGATCGCGGATACAAGCGGTCGAAATGAGCTTCCTCCGCAGAGTGGCTGGGCGCTCCCTTAGAGATAGGGTGAGGAGCTCAGTCACACGGGAGGAGCTCGGAGTAGAGCCGCTGCTTCTCCACGTCGAGAGGAACCAGTTGAGGTGGCTCGGGCATCTGTTCAGGATGCCTCCTGGACGCCTTCCTGGGGAGGTGTTCCGGGCACGTCCCACCGGGAGGAGGCCCCGGGGAAGACCCAGGACATGCTGGAGAGACTATGTCTCTCAGCTGGCCTGGGAACGCCTTGGGGTCCCCCCGGACGAGCTGGAGGAGGTGTGTGTGGATAGGGAAGTCTGGGCGTCTCTGCTTAGACTGCTGCCCCCGCGACCCGGCAACGGATAAAGCGGAAGAAAATGGATGGATGGAAAATGATGAATAGCTTGTGGCTTATGTAAGGTTAAAACGGAGGACAGGGCCGGCCGGGCCTGTCTTCTCTGTGAACCATTGACCAAATGGAGATAATACCTCACCACAACTTCAAAG